TAAAGCTTAAGACAAAAATATTTTTTAGCTGAGAAAAAGGAATTTTCATTCCCACCAAGGTTAAAATGGAGAGGACTTTCTGAAAGTGGGTTTTTACATGTGAAAGAGAAATATTTGGAGGGCTTTGGATTTGGAAGAAGGACAAATAAAAAGTATGCCCCATTTCTGTAAGCACTTACTTCAAGAATCCTCACAAGAATCCCTGAAAGTTCTTATTTGTATAGGTTTGCCACATTTAGTAAATATTAGGTTAAAAAAGTGACTTGTTCTTTATCTAAAATTCTCATGTAACTTGTCCCTGTATTTTGTCTGGCCACCTTATATTCATTGCCATTTTATATTTTTAAAAAAGTGTAGCTCTGCTGGTAATTCTGAAGCATAAAACAGCAATCATACTAGGGTTATAAGGTGAGAGGAAAGGCCAAAGTTTCCTTAAAGTTAGATTCTGCGAAAATGTCTGAAGAACCCATTGGGAATTGAAGACTACATTGCCATGGCAACATTCAGAACTTTCTGGAGGCACATACTAATTACTCAGGCCAGATCATTCCCTATAGATTCAAATGGCCTTCACTCTCACTATGGTGATGGGGACACTTTCTCAAGAGACAGATTGCTAACTACCCTCTGTCCTCTCAACTTGGTACCTACTTCTCTTCCTTGCAAGGGGCTACATCCCTGAAATCTGGAAAATTTAGGGGCCAGATAACTAGGAGGGTGACAGAAAAAATCTTTTCATAATAACATCCGTAGATTTCACAATATTCCCAAGGATTGCGATTACTAGAAAAGATTTCCATTTTCTTTTGGGGGATGATGGAGTAAATCAAATTAGAAGCTTCATAATTGCATGATGATTTTCTGAGTTTCAGAAAAAAAAAGTAATCTTTACCAAGTATGAATGTTCTTATACTCTTACTTAAAATTTTCCCATGGCTGCATATAGCCCTCAGTTAACTATCATCCTGGTATTTATTCCTCTGGAAGCCAACGATGACAGGATGATTGAGTGCAAGTTGTTCCAGGTAGGGATGATCCCAAGGTGATCACTGGAGGATGGAGGGAGTGAGAGACAGATATAGGAAGGTAGCCAACCAGGAAGACAAGGCTGATGGGCAGGAAACTTTGGTGGACAACTAGGGATCAATTCCATTGGGTGACAGTATTAGTAAATGCTTCAGTTACTCTGAACAAAGAGAATTGAGCTATTTATCCACCAGTTACTATACACCACACATTCATTCATTTACTCCCAACTTAGCCATTCATGGGCTCCTGCTGCCAGAGAAAATGCCAGGCAAAAAGTTGCAGATTCAGGAAAAAAAGGAAGAACAACGATGAAATATATCTGGGGCATCAACAGAATCTGCTCCAGGGACACATCCCTCCCTTCCAAATAACCCATCATTCTACAACCAAAACACTGTGACCAAGAATTCCACTTGACTACAAGCCAATAACCACTGGTTTGGGGGGTTAATCTGAATGTTAAACAGACCAAGAACCCATTGATGAAAGCCTTAAAAATTCTGAAGTTCTCCAGGGAGGTTTCTCTCACAAGTCTGGAATATAATCTTTCTGAAACTCAAGAAGTCTGGAATAAACCTCAAGGGAGGTTGATCTTATAAATCTGGTTACTCTTGAGAGCAGTGTAACCATTCATTGACATCACCAAATCCTCTATGACCTCAATGTCACTACATTCCCTTCATTCTGTATTTTCCACTTTTTCCAAATGTCTATTATATATTTTGTTATCCTGGGAGAACTACTTTGCATGCATCTAAAGTTATAAGTTAATTACTTCCACAGGATTGTGATTGGCAAATAAATGGATTTCTTCTCTTGACACTTCAGAAGATTTTTCCAGACATTCAAGGCCAGGAGGAACTCCAATTCTGGAGACAGAATAGCTGGATCTGAATCTTACCTCTAACCCTTATTATCCATGTAATCCCGAGCAAGTTACTCATCTGGTGTGTAACTTGGTTTCTCTTGCGTAAAATGGATTTAACAATATGGCTTGATTCTCCAGGCTGTTTTGAAAATTCAATCCTTTAATAATTGTAGTGGCCTTCATAGTGATTTATAAGTGTCCGCTAAATAACTCTAAAAGGATTAGACTCTAATGAGCATTTAATATCCTCTCACAGTTTAGTGCTCAGGAAAATAATGTTAGATAAAATAGTCCTACCTAGGGGTTGTGGTTGTAGCTCTGTGGTAGAGCGCTTGCCTAGCATCTGTGAGTCAATGAGTCTGATACTCAGCAGCATAAATAAATAAATAAATAAATGTCCATCATATATATATATACACACACACACTTGTTTTATTGTATATATGTATATATTAGTTATATATGATATATTTAAATATATATAACTAATATATATATATATATATATATATATATATATATATTTTTTTTTTTTTTTTAAATCCTGACTAGGCTCTGAAGTCATTCATAGTTTCTAAATAGCTTACTTTTCTTCTTTACTGACACCCTATATTCACCAAGAATAAGGAACACTAACCTTGGCACCATTAAAAGTGACCTTACTAACTAAGAAACCTGCTTTCTCTGTAATTATAGCCATTTGGCCAAAATGAGACACTGACACCTGTCAAACATCAAGTAAAGGTATAAAAAGGTATAAAAGCAACTTGTTAGCTCTGGGATGTCTTACCCACTGCTTGTTAATGTCTATACTTCATTCCCTTCATTTGCATTCTCTTTATCGTTTTCCTTTTTTCTCCCCTCTTTTAAATCTAACTTGTGTTGAATTCTTCTTAAGAAATCATCCAAAGAGCAGTTTATAACTACGGACCAAGAGTCAGAAGAACAAAAAGTCAGGAATAATCTCATCACTCACGCATAAACCTTTGTAAACTCTGATAGGCATCCTCATCTTTAAATATATACTTTTAAAAATATTAAATAATAGCGATTTTCTATGTCATTATACTCTATATCATTTTTTTAAAATTTCATTACATTTCAATGCATCCTAGTTTTTGCAACTTATGTCCAGTGATTGAGACATTTTTCCAACTTTTTGCTTATTAAATATATAATAGATGTGCTAGAGATTACACTCTTGCCAAGCGTGTATGAAGCCCTGAGTTAGAACCCCAGCACTGCAAAAAAATAAAAATTAAAAAAAATAAATTAAATTAAGAATAAGAAAAATAACAGATGGCAAGGTCCTTGCAGAAGTGTTTTTCCTCAAAATACTACTTTCTTGGAATTCCTAGAAAATAATGTGTAGCATCACATGGAATTTACATTTTTAGTGCTTTTTACTATGCCAAAATACTTTTAATGCCTAAACATTTTTAGAAAGATTATTCCACCATACACTGTTCCTCATCAGCTTTTTAAAATGCACAGTTTACTCCTAACCTCAGCTTACTGTATGATCTGAAAATAACAATTTGATATTTAGAAAATGAGAAATATTGTTATGATTAACATTCCTTTGCCTATCAGTGAAATTAAATATTTTCCATCCATTTATTGGTGGTTTTAATGTTTCCATTTGTTAATTTCCTACTTATATATTTATTTCCACTTATATATATTTTTTGTACCTTTTGGGTGATATGTTATTTTCGTTTTTCAAATATATGGGCTTTTTACAGAGAAGGGACATTAACCCATTGCTATCACATTTTATCACTTTTTTTCAGTTTGCCATTTTCTTTAAATTTTTATAAAAATTTTAGAGCAACAATGTTTTAGTTCTGTATGTTTGTTTGCTTTTCTTTACTGGTTGATTCCTATGGCATCTTATCCCAACTTTAAATAGACATATACCCATTTAGTATTTAGTAACCAGTTTTTCCTTCTCCTTGCCTAATTTTCAGGATTCCCATAAATCAATGCCAGGAATCCCAAGGCCACTTACCTGCATGTGGTCTAGGATTAGAAAGAAAGAAGGAATGAAAGAAAGAAAGAGAGAGAGAGAGGGAGGGAGGGAGGGAGGGAGGGAGAGAGAGAGAGAGAGAGAGAGAGAGAGAGAGAAGGAAAGGAAAGAAAAGAAACGAAACAAACAAAAATAAGTGCCAGCCTCAGTTGCCTAAGTCTGCCCAAAACCCAGAAGAATTCATTCTGACATCCCTGGTAGAATTTTGTGGCAAACATTTCAAAGAGGAAAATGAATCCACAAGATCCTTAATTTTTAGAACTAAAATGCCTTAAAATAGTATTTGGTTCATGCTCATTTGGCCTTCATTTCCAGTTCTACTGAGCATCAAAAGATGTCAAGTAAAATTTATTACCAATTTTTATAGGAATTTTTAAAGCAGAAATTACAGTGATATATGCATAGCCTTTTAAATGCTAATCATTGCTAAGGAACTAGGAAGTTCAAAAATTAGGCACAATAGGAGATTTCTTTACATCATATTTGATTTTCTCTTTGCTGTCTCTTAAGGCAGTTGAAAATGTTCTACTGGGAAAATAACGCATCCATAAAAAAGAATCTTAATCCAAAATCATAGAAGAAAACACAAGCAATCTGATTGCTTCTGTTCTTTTCAGTGTGAAATCACTTTGGCTTGGAGAAAGTAGATCTTTGAAATAGGGTAGCTACCTAGTTGAATCCCACTTCTGCCCCTACATAGCTGTGGCCTTGGAAGAGCCATTTCTCAGACCTTCATTTTTTGAGATGTTGATATTAACACCCGTAACTAACATTTATTGAGCCACTAATCTATGCCAAGAACTTAATATGTGTGAACTTATATTCACAGTAATCCAATGAGGCAGGTATGAATTTTATCTTCATTTTATAGCTGAGGAACCCAAGGTGTAGAGCAGTATGTTGCCCAAAGAGATACAACTAGAAAATAGAAGAGCAGGATATATAGCATTTTGATGATAGAACCAACAAGCTTAATTTTTCTGAGTGCAGGGAAGTGTTTGCTTGATGCATCATAGAAGAGAATTGCTAATCATTTTTCTTCTTCTGTCCCTGTGCTAAGGACATACTTCCTACCTCTCACAGTTGCAAGTTCCCCATCCACATGAGCCATGCGCTGCATGGCAGTAGCCCCAGCACATATTGGCATGCTGACCCGCTGTCCTAAAACAGAAGTTGACAAATCGATTTCAGCAACATTCTGGAGCATCCTTGGATATAGCTTCCATCTACAATTAAAAAAGATAAATAACTTTAGAACTTGAAAATATAACCAATGATTTGACATGGCATTTTATTCAGAAAGAAAAAAAAATATTAGATTTTTTTTTTTTTTTTTTGCATCAAGCAGATGATATCACAAAGCTAAAAGACAAGAAGCAATTTTAATTGTTAGGGCAGAAAGTTAGTAATAAGATGATAAGGAATATGATGCAATGTGTACATGTATTGAACAATACATGGCACCCCTTAGCATGTAAAACTTTAATTTTTATGTATGTATCAATCAAAATTCAAACATACAAAAAAGATGACAATGAATTTCCCAAGCTATTTATTTATTTATTTATTATTTCTTACTAGCAATTTTTAATTAAAGTATAAATAGCATACAGTAGAACTTACCAACACTTTTGTACATGTTTGTAGATTGTGAAAAACGTATATAGTGGCATAACTGCTAAGAAAATGAAGAGCCTTAATAGCTCAGTTACTCCTAAATTTCCCCATGCCCGCCACCTTTCCTGAATATGCAAAGCGCATTTAATCCATCTTCAAGAGTTCCCAAAGTATTAACTGTTTCAGTGTTGCCCAAAAGTCCAAGTCCAGAGTCTCATGTTAGATTTAAGACAAATTCTTTACTGTTAGTGTGAGCCACTGTAAAAAGCAAAAGCAAGTTATATATATATATATATATATATATATATATATATATATATATCCAATATATAGTGCCACGAGTAAACATTCTCATTACAAAAGGAAGGAATAGATGCATGTAATGAAGGAATGGGTCTCAAATCCAGCCAGGCAAACAAGTCCTGCATGTGTATAGACACTTGGTAGTGAAATGTGATAACCAAAAGACTTGTGTAATTCCATCCCTGTGGCCTTGTTGGTTACCATCCAATTGGTCTCTCTCTTAGGCAAGCTGTCTGCAGTCAGCAGCTTCCCTTGGCAGGTGTTCTGTTTAATTGGCATCTCTGAATCCCAGGGGTCTTTATTGCAGCTTTGACTTCATTCTGCTAACTTCATGCATTGTCTTCTCAAAGATGCCTGCAAGGATTCCAACCCTGCTACACTTTGCCTGGCCTCCCAGACCTTTTAAATCTAAGTAGAATCTTCCATGACCCCCTAACTCCAGCATCCTGCATTCCTGCAGAACCAGCACCAATGAGATATCAACATCTGCTGCCAGCTCCAACAGTACATGGGACTCCTTGGATCAGAGCCGCACCAGCTTCTGAAAGCCTGGGCAGCTGAGTGCAGTGAAATCAATCCTGGGCAAAGAGATTTCCAGATTCCCCCCATTAGCAGAGTTCCACCAAGGAGTCTTCTCAAAGGAGTTTTCATTTTTACACCCTTGAACCGGCCATGAGTGTGATCTTGCTGATTCCTCTCAAATCTCAAAGCATCTTTCCTATTCTTTCTGTGCAAAGTACTTAACTTCACTTTATTGGTGTAATCTCTTCAGCAACCACATCTTCTTTGGCCCCAGTTTTATTTGTGTTTTTCTGTCCAAACCACAAATTTTTAAAACTTATTTTCTTCTGCATTCTGCTTCTGATTCTCACAGTAAACCTGTGAAAATAATTTAGAGGAAGAAAGAATTTATTTGGGGCTCATGGTTTCAGAAGTTCAGGCTATGGTCAACTGATCCCATTGCTTTGGACCTGAGGTGAGACAGAACATCATGGAGCATAACACAGAGAAGCTTCTCAGCTCATGGCAGCTGGGAGGCAAAGAGACAAAGCCCCACTTGCTTTTACAGTAAAACACTCCCCATCTCAATCCTCTGACAACCATAAATGTGTTTTTTGTTGTTGGGTTGCTTTTTTGTTTGTTTGTTTGTTTGGTTGGTTGGTTGGTTGGTTTTTGTTTTTTGTTTTCAAAGTTTTGCTTTGCAAGAATATCCTAGAGTCTTTAATAATATTCTTTTTCCTTTGAATATAATGCATTTGAAATCTGTCCATATTGTTGCATTTATCAATAGTTGGTGCCTTTTGATTAATGACTAACACTCCACCATACAGGGGTATCACAGTTTGTTTCTCCATTCCCAAACTAAGGGACATTTGAAATGTTTTCAGTTTGAAGTGATTATACATAAAGTCACTATAAACATTGACCTACAGGTTTTTGAGAAAACATAGTTTTTATTTCACTTCCCTCTGGTCATTTTGAAGATGGACAGAGGCCCAGAAGGTAGATTAGAGTTGAAGAAGATATATTACATCACTTTCTTTTCTTTTTTCTGTAATGCATAGTAGCTGCAATTGCTTTTTAAATTATAATTTGCTTTCTTCAGCATGGTTGAGCTGAATGCTGTACTCATTGATATGTGATAATGAGGAAGGATAACCCTTTTTAGATGAGTTGAACATTTTCCTTGAAAATGTTAGTTAACTGAAACCAGAATTTTGGGCTTAAACAGTTTTTGACTCCTGAAAATTATCTTACATGATTTTTTTTTCTGTGATTCTTCCATGTTGGAGTAAAAATTTCCAAAAACAAAACAAACAAAAATTCACTAGTAAAATTTACAGATGCAACAGTTCTCTTTCCTCCAAGCAAAATGTACATCTCTAACTCATTTGGGTTCATTATTTTCCTCATTAATGAACAACTAAAGCTGAAGAAAATTCAGTCTTATTACTAATGGGTATTGGTCTAATGAATTGCTTGCACAGACACACATCTATACCTAACCAACACTTAACTCAAACTTCCTTTCCTAGAGAGATTGAAGTTTTTTTTTTTTCAGTAAATATGGTGAAGTGTGATGTAGTAATGGAGTAATTGAGAAAAAAAGTTCTCATTTGAAGCCGACTTCAATTGAGAAATTCTGCCTTAATATTGCTTGTGAACTAGCTAAGGGTCTGTAATCTAACCCGTCCATTATAAAGTAAAACATCCCAGTTCTTAAAAAGCACTATAAAGTAGTTTCACTGTGTGATTTCTATGCTATTCCTTTGAACATCATAATTGTCATTATTTATGTCACACCGCACGCTCTGCTGCTGGAAGTCTTTTCTTCTCCACTGACCTTCACAGCATGATTCTTTGATCTCCGTGTTGAAGGGAGAGAGGCAAAAGCCTTGAAGGGAGCTTTTATTACCAACCATGTGTGTTCTTAGAATGAGAGAAAAAGATTTTAATAGCAGCCATTGGCATGCCAGCTAGGAAGGCACTAATATTGACTCAGGGCTGGGGAAACAATGAAAGCCTTTATGGAGAGGATACACAAAGCTGCAGGGTATGGGCGAAGGGTGTGTGTGTGTGTGTGTGTGTGTGTGTGTGTGTGTGTGTGTCAAAGGGGAATTTTTCAATGTCTTATTCCTATTTGAAAAGCAAGGCTCTCTCCAGACAGCAGCTTTACACTTCTCCACCTGGTGGCGCAGTCACCTTAATAACTGTGCTGCTGTTGCTGCTTTCACCACAAATGCTATTTTCTGTGCTGAGGATGTTACAGTGAATCATCAGCCAATGAACGAAATCCAATTCTGGGCAAAATCAGATAAAGCCAATGGAGCGGGAAAATGTTCATCCTCTAAGAGTCATCCACGTTTGGACATTTTCCAAAGTTCAAGGACACTGAGTTTGCCAGATGTTTCCCATATCTTTCCAAACCCTACCCAGCCCACCTCGAATGAAACTGACTGTCCCAGGAATCATGCAAAAATGATGCTCTCATGGGGCCTCAGCTTTGGAAAGTCTTTAAAGATGCATCAAATGGTTGAACCAACTGAAGAATAAGACTTTTTTCAAAGGATAGAAAATAAGATGCCATTAACAGGACTTTTAGCCCAACGAGGCCCTCAAATTTAACTTATCAAAAAATCAACACAGGCACACACTCTCCAAGAGGTGACTGCTATTGGAAGACATCCCAGCTTTAAAGCCTTGTGCTTATTGATCACACCTACCAAGCACAATGAATGACTGTTGCCTAAGTCCTTCAAACACTGTCACCTTGCATTACAATTTCCTTACCTTAATATTTTACTTTGAGACAGAATGCAAAAAGTGCCTTAACCACCTCTGGTGGCTATTAGTTAATAGAGATATTGTGATGAACACTAAAATGCTACTGGTGAGTTTAAATGGCTTCTGGAATATCAAAGTAAGAACATCATCACTTTTATTCTTCAGTGATTAACAGAAAAAAAGCACACAGTTGTCAGTGTCGTTAGGTGACGTAGTGTGAGAGGGAGGAGCTTCTATTTTTGAAACCAGAGGGCCTCTAAGTACCCAAATTATAGAATGATTTTCTATCAATAATTATTTCAGAAAAAGCCACAAAATATGTGCAGATCATGCTTTAGGAGACTGCTTTGAGAGCATGTAGATGAGAAAAAAAAATATACCGTTCCTTCTCAAATTAACCCTAATCAGATCAGGTCACACAAAATGCAGCAAGCTGACATTCACTCTGTTCTTATCATATTTATATTTGCAATAGGAAATTTCGTTCTTCTGAGTGGTTCCATTTATTCTTCATTATGTTTTTTTGTTGTTGTTGATTGATTGTTTGTTTTTGTTGTTTGTTTTTGGTTACAGTAATACTAAAGCCCCGAGTCTTAATCATAAATGTCTCCAAGCGATAGCTGGGTCACATGAAAGGTCCCAGTCCCCAAAACTCCAAAATGTGGTTTTCAGATCTGAGTACAGATAAACACTGTTACTTTAAATGACTCTTAGTTGTCCTTGTGGTAGGAGGAGACCATTTCACAAATGTCTTTGAAATACCCTGACCTTAGGTTACAACGGGTTATCTGAGGTTTAGGTGTTGCACCCTTTATTTGAATCAGAGTCAAAAAAAAAAAATTTCAGGGTGATTCCTTTCATGTTATCAACCCAAAGCCACCAAAACCCTGGCAGAAAATCTTTTAGTTCCATGTGACAGCTAGATAATACAAGACAAAGAATCAAGAGTCACCCAGCAAGTCACACAGCAAAAGAGGAATTGAGATGTGAAATCGGTAACCACGAGTATGTGTTGCAATACAGTCTCAAGTGCTCAATAACAAAAGAGTATCAGCTGTCTTCCAAAGTTGATAATGTCTTTTTTTTTCTTTAAGGATGAACAAAAATGAATTGTCAAGATTCATGGAAACGGTGGCATTGCAAACTCTTTCCCATTACCTGCCACCCTTCCCTAAATTTCTCAGGGCACACATAGGAAGGTAATAATCTCTGGAGTGCCACATGATTCAAAATAAGCCACAGGATGGTTTTCCAGTTCATAACTTGAAGTGCCTAAGTCTTCTGGTCTCACAAAGTTCTCGAATCTCGAGGGTTGCAGCACCCTTTGGCTCTTTTCTCTTAAGGCTTCTCTGAGCCAACTGTTTGGAGTCCATTTAATATTAATTCAATCCTCCAGAATTATGGGAACCCAAAGTCAATATGCATTCATGGGATTTAAGCTCCTGTGGATGGAATTTGCTCTGGCTCACTGCTCTGCCCTCAGCTGGTAGTACAGAACCTAGCCCCTAGAGGCTGCTATAAGCAGAAGTTAACTCATTGGCAAGCATTGGGGGAGGGGCCAAGGAGTGTGGAAAGCTGTATAGAAATGGCCTGGGTGATCACCAGCACCAATGCTGAGACACCAGCTCCCTGCGTCTATCAAGGGCCTGAAATTCCCTTGGTAGTAATGGCCCATTTGGTTTAAGGTGTTGTTTTCAGACCACTCACAGAAGAACCATGTCACCTATTGAATAGAATTGACATGGGGGCAGTTGACGTGACAAGATGTCCAAGAACGGACATCTTCCAGAAGCAGAAAATTTTGATGGGTCCAACATAGAAAGCAATGATTAGAAAAGATTAGATTATGCAGAAATGTAAGCCCCTCCACTCTTAGGCTATCATGAATTCTCCAGAATTTTCTAGTTCAAATGGGAGAAAACCTGAATCAAGGGTTGCAAGGACTGGGATAGGTCCCACCCTTTATTCCACGGCCAACCTGGGGCATCATGACCTGTGGGTCAATCAGCACTGCCTGCAGGAGATCAGCTGGGTTAGAATGATTTTATTTGTCCTAATTTACATATAGCAAAGTGATTTTGAGTGATTTCACTCTAGATTCAAGAATTCAAAAAGAAGCAGACTCTCCCTCCCTGGATATTTTCTGTCTCTTTTCCTTTAATTTATCACCATAATGAGCACTTACACTATTCATTGCCTTTAGTAAGGACTGTAATGGAAGATGGATGGAACTAACAGTGTATTGCAGCCTCCCCTCCCCTCCTCCAGAAAATAAACCATTTCTGTATCTGCTGAGAGAAAAACACTCCTTTAAAGATATCTTGTTTCTTGTTTTTATTACAAACAGAAAACATAAACCATGACACTCACCATCTTGTATCTTGAAATATGAAAGTCAAGGGAAAACTAATTTGGGAAGAGAAATGAAGCTTTTTGCAGGAGAGATGAAACAGCGAAGTTGAAAGATGAATGTAACGTAGACAAATTGAAATCTAAAGTGGAAGTTAAAAACAACAGTAATCAAAATGAATGATAACACAGGAAGCCAGCAGGATGGGAATATCTGAGGCAGTAATCCTATCTGGTTCAACCAGATAAGACGGTTATCTTGCAGTTAGTGTTATTTCCTACCTCATGAACATGAGCACTCACTGTCACTCTCACAGAAAAATAAATAAATAAAATTTAAAAAAACAAGGCATCAAAATTTATGACTAATGTTATGTGTGGTTAAATTAACTCCATCATACTTTCAAGTGTAGACAGAGGGGTAGCTTTTACAGTCAATTGTTCAAGATTCTCAGCCTTGGAATATTTTAAACAATCCAAGAACTCAAGATTCTTCACATCCCCCCAGAAAGTTCCCCTCTCTATTAAACGCATATCTAGACAAATAATTCCACACCACCAGCACAAACCTGCATCTCGTTTTGATGCTATATCTTAGTGTAATATTAAAGCACAATTTTACATTAAAAAATTTTCTTACCTGGAGAATGCTGTAATATTATCAGCCAAGGTCTCCTGATCATTTGCCCCAGATCTATAATAGTCATATATAGACTTTTGAAGCACTGATTTAGCATGTTGTTCATAATCATCAATACAAACTAGCCGGGAGAACATTTTCCTAGCTTATTTCGACCTTGGTTGTTACTGGTTTTTGGTTGTTTATTTTTTGAGTATTGCCTTCTACACCCTGACAATTCCATTATTTGTCAATTATTAATAGACTTTTGTCAAAGTTCATATTTAGTTCTCTGTTGCTTACATCAAGTAAGCAAACATTATATGCTTAGACTTTGAAATTTAATTTGCAAAGGTTATCCACCAAAGAACACCTAAGCCACAAGAAGTTGTGATTGGGGAGGCAGAAGGAGGCGATGAAGTGTCTATCACATTGAAAAAGCAGAGAAATGAATAAAAAAATAAGGACTTAGTATTTATGTGAAATCACTTTTGGTTTAGTTGTGCCTATGGCTGATTCTTCTACGTTACCTGCCTTTGGTCTTTGCTTTGTTCCCAGAACAGGCCCACTCATTTTCCTTCCACATTTGGATCATGTACATATTATATGAAAATGAAATACACTTCTACCAAATATGAAATTTAGCTATAAACCTTTGGCTTTAACACGGAACATTATGGCCACATTCACAACTAATTCTTAAAAAAATATTTGGAAGGGATATAGGGAAGTGTCATCCCAAAGGACAATGTGATCTCAACCTAAAATTTCACCCAATTACAGAATATGTGATGAAGGTTTGGATCAGCAAGATGTGATTAAGAAAGCAATTCCTTTAACATCATGCCTGTGTTTCAATCTAGGAGCCTTTACTTTGAGTTGTTCCCATCTCTTCAACAGCTGAACTCCAACTGCTTACAACAGTATGAGAATTTTCTTCTAAATTTGGAGCCTGCTTTTCCATCCACATGACTGAAATGCTTAGTGTTATGAAATCAATATCTCATGGAACAGCCTTCAATCATGAACTTATGGGAGATGGTGCATAAATACCATCTCAAATACCTCACTCCTCTAGTGGGATCATTCCTCTGTTCTGATTCTATGACACAGGCTGCAGTTACCCACAGTGAGTTGCTTGAAAACCCAGCGGTAGTGAGTGCTTTCCTTCCAGTCTCACTGCCCTACCCCTTATCAATGCTCTGTCCACCTCCCAAACAAAACCCTTTTATTTGAATGCTTGTCTCACAGTCTTCTTTTGGTGAAACCCAAACTAAGACAAGGATAAATATTAACAACTATTTTGAGGGTTGACTGTCATGAGTGAAGGGCATATCATTATTGAAACACTTAGCATGTGTGAGATATGTAATAGATATTCCCTGCTCTTATTGTCTAGATAGAGTTTGTAAGTATTTTTTTAAAGAGTTTTGCTTAATACCAATTATGTTAAAACAAATCCTTAGCATGCAAGAGAATGAAAAAAGAGATTCTTGGGCTTTTATGACATCATTGCTGTTCTGCAAGTCCATTGGTTCCTGAGTATTTTCTTGTTACATTTGCAATTAGTTCAATTTATTTTCTATGCCCTCAAGAATAATGCCTTCCTGAAGTAATATGGATTTTTATATCTGGATCTATTGAACAATTGTCTTAACTTGTACTTTATGAAATTCCATAGAGTAAATAGGATAGGACGTAGAATCATAGGGTCACACACTGGGTGAGGGTCTTCTAAGTATTTTGTAGTGCGAAAAGCATCCAAGGTGAAAAGAATTACTAGGATTTGGTATGTAATCTGTAATACAGTTTTGACCTACCTGTGGCCACAGAGCAGAAAGAGTCCAGTCAACTATCATGTAAAACTCCTGCTCTGTGCATCACCAAACAGAGAAGAGGCAGGATGTGGACCAAATTCACTTGTACAACTAACAAAGCAACTAGAAACCAAAGATGCTGGTTCGATAGCAGTTCATTGGACAAAGTGGGAATGAAATAAGCACCAAAACTATAAGCATATCTAGGCCTTTCCCAGCTTTAAGGAAAAACATAATTTTTAAATTGATTTTTTTTAAAATAAATGACAGTGGAATGCATTATAATTCTTATTACACATATACAGCACAATTTTTCATACCTCTGGTTGTGTATAAAGTATGTTGACACCAATTCATGTCTTCATTCATATACTTTGGATAATGATATCTATCACATTCCACCATTCTTGCTAATCCCTTGCCTCCTCCCTTTCCCTCCCACCCCTCTGCCCTATCTAGAATTCATCTGTTCCTCCCATGCTCCCCCCCACCCCACTATGAGTCAGCCTCCTTGTATCAGAGAAAACATTCGGCATTTGTGAAAAACATAATTTTAAAAAGGAAATGAGTTTTGATTTAATCAAACACGTTTTGTTTGAATTATTTATTATTTAGTTAGGATTGACGTTAATTATACCTATGTTGATTCTAAAGTTTACAAATGCTTACTTAGTGATAAATAAAATGAGATACAAAAATTGCTATTAAAGGGCTCATTTCCCAGCACAAAAAAAGGAAATAAAACATTTTTAATTTAAAATTGCTACTGGGGCCAGGCACCGTGGCACACACCTGTAATCCCACCAGTTCAGGAGGCTGAGACAGGAGAATTGCAAATTCAAGGCCAGCTTCGGAAACTTGGCAAGGCCTTAAGCAATTTAGTGAAACACTGCCTCAAAACTAAAAATTGGAAAAAAAGAGCTGGGGATGTAGCCCAGTGGTTAAGTGCCCCTAGGTTCAATTCCTGGTACCTAATAATAATATTAATAATATAAAACAAAAATAAGAATGTAAAAAACCTGTTGATAAGATAAACAAGTTCTAAATAATTTATTTTGACAATTAATAAAGCCATCATGAAAGCTGATTCAAGGAATCTCAATTGCTATTGAGTATAGATTCAAAATTTGCAAACTAACCATAATCTTTTATTTACATATTCCATCACTACCAATTATTAAAAGTTAATGTTAGCTGTTATTGAAAGTTGCATCTTGCAACTAATATCATTGGGATGAACAGGCAGTTTGGTGTTCTATGGTAAAACTTCAGCAGGCCATGTCCTGGTACTACTGAGGAAGAGAAATAAGGGCCAGCATTTCTCAAAATGATTGGCCTCCCAAGAAGACTGATAGGAACAGGCAGTCTCAGTTCTAGCCTGAAGGAGAAATTATGGCCATTGGTGTGGCAAGAATCATCAGATGATGCTGACATGTAATACTGTTTGAGAGCCAGAATTTGGGCAAAAATGGGGAACCAAGAAGTATATTGAAAGAGGCTTGAATTTAAAAAGAACGAACAAGCCCCCCACTCTTCTTCTATAGGAGGGCATCTCATCAGTTTATTTGGAATAACATCTTAGTAGATGGAAATGCAATCCTCACACTGCTTCACTCATCTCTCAGTGGAAGGACAAAATGAAGTAGTTGGTGTTTAAAACAGATCTTGTTAATTTGTGATGATTACGTTCCGGAAATATCTCACATTCTTTTAGAGACAATGCAATCTTGTAAACCTCCTCTAGAGGCTCGGTGAAGTGAGGTGCTTAAGCAGGACCCAGGGGACAGCAATCTCATGTCTTGTTCAGGCTGCTAAGGGCTGCATGTGTCACAATTGTTCCCTCCTCCACTCCCTAATTTGAGAATCAGATAGTAAATTATGCAAATGACATCTTCTTAGTTCAGGTTCACCCCCTTTCACAGTGGCCAAAAGACTAGGGTTTTGTTTGTTTGTTTGTTTTCCTGCACTGGACTGAGTAGAATCTCTACTTCCAACCTTCCTTAGCATCCTGATAAAATCTTAGGCAGAATAATGTCCCAACATCTCCACAACTGTGGGATGGTTTCCAAGCCACAGGGCTCTCTTGCAGAACTCTCACCTGATGCTTAAACTCTTAAAGCAAAACTCTTAAAAGAAAAACTGAAGCATGAGCTCTGAGGAATCACCGAGATCTCTCTATCTTTGTCAGGGCACTCATTGTCACTTAACAGGCAGTTTAGACTGTTGCTTGAAGATGTCTTGTTTCCAGCTTTTATCCTTTTACAAAGCTTCTTGTCTTAAATGAGAGAGGTTTGGTGGAATCTTAGTCATTTCCACCATCCTACACACTGGAAAAGGCTAAGTTTTACAATTACCCAGTACCACTGACAGGCAGGCATGGGGTACCCTGGATGGCTGGAGAGAGTGCCTCTGACCCGTAGGTGGACCATTTTGTTGTGGTTTAATGTATATTTCCCTGTTGATTTACAATTTTGATCATCTTTTTACTGACCTTTTATTTTCATTGACCTTTTATTTTCCCACTTTAGTGAAATCTTTGGCCATTTTTTAAAATAGAATTCTGGTTGTTATTGATTAGTAGGTTTTCTTTATATATTTTGGCCATAGGTCCTTTGTGGTTATGCCCGGGTAAATTACACTTTTACTAAGCTCTTGACTTGCCTTTACACACTAATAATGTCAGTGTCAGCCTCAAATCTGCATGATTGTGAGCTTGTGGTTAGAACTTCTGTTTTCTTTCTCTTTATTTTGGCCTCCCTTTTCCCCTTCCTCATTCCCTCCCTTCCTTTCTTCCTCTTTCCTTCATCATTTTTGGTGGTGTGGGGGATACTGGAGACTGAACTCAGGGGCACTCAATCACTGAGCCACATTCCCAGCCCTATTTTGCATTTTATTTAGAGACAGGGTCTCACTGAGTTGCTTAGCATCTCGCTGTTTCTGAGGCTGGTTTTGAACTCGCGATCCTCCTGCCTCAGCCTCCAGAGCTGCTGGGATGACAGGTGAGCACCCAGCTTTGTCCTCATCTTTGACTTTTTTTGTCTTCTTTTACTTTTTCCCTTTCTTCTTCCTCCTCCTGATTCTCCTTTTATTAATTCTCTCTTTAACTTTCCTTTCTCTCCCTTTCTCCAATCAGAGCCCAGTCCTAGACAGGTAACTTACTTTCAGCTAGTTGAATTTTCTTTTTCTGGTTTATACTCTATAAGCATTGTCCTTTGAGGTCCTGGCTCTGAGCTGGGATTAAAGGGTATGAGAGTACTTACAGACTTCTGGGAAAGGTTCCCTCTTTTATTCTCTGCAACAATATGACTTGGCAAGCAGTCCCCTGGGGTGGATGAAGGCTGATAGGAGGGGTGCAGAGGGTTGACTTGTGTTTCCACTACTGTGAGTTAACAACCCTCTGAGTATTGGTTTA